TGGAACTGGGCCCAGGCAATCAGAAATGATTAAACCCACACGGGACCTGCAGACCCCAGTGTTGGAGTTAAATGGCTATCCCAGTGACTGCTGAAGACGGGGAGCTGATGTGAAAATTGAAGCAATTACCTAGATCACTCAGGCAGAAGAATTTCTGAGGCTTTTTTCCTTGAACAATCCAGATAATTGCACCAATTTACACTTTTTACTGGCAGTAGAGACTGGCAGAAACTGCTCTCTAGGAGAGGGCTGAAGGGAGAGAAGCAGAGTGCTCAGAAAATGGTTCTGTTCGCTCAGGGGAGAAAATGGGATAATGGGGGGAAATGAACGTGCTTTGGCCCCGATTCCTGCCAGTCGCAAGCAAGTCAAAGTGAGACTGTTCATTGTTGCCTGAATGACCCAGATAATTGTCCATTTTTTCTCTCATCTCAACTATGAAGCCGCAGTGTTGCTCGCTGAAGCGCCAGAAGAAACCTTGGCCAGGGAAGTTGGCGTCTGTTTGAGGCCCTCACCCTGTGCTGGTGGGTAAATTCCTCAGTTCATTACTGATGACGGTCAGTTCCCACTTGGAGAGGGCGCTGTCCTGGAAGAACCCACCACACCTGTTAGTTCAGCCGTGAGCAACATGCTGGGCAGCAAATGACTCATTTCACATGGACCCTGGGGATTCATTTCCGGGACCGAAAATCCACAGTTGAACAAGTGAATGAATGATGCATGAATGCATGAAACACATTTGTTGAGTTGCTATTTTGTGCTTGGCATTATGCCAGGCCTTGGAATAATTAACCCTATGATTTCTTTCTTTCTGTCATGCTTTTTTGGGAGGGGTGATTCCCTCCGTCTCTTCACAGCCTCTCCCAGATTTTATTTCCATAGTATTTTCTCACACGTTTCTCTTCCAATTCTCACTTATCTAGAATCCGTAATATTTTTAGCAACATTTCAACAGATGGGGTAAAAAGAAAATAGTTCAGAGAAGTTAAATAAATTTTCCGAAGTCACAGAACTTGTTAGCAGCAGAGCTGGGATAAAATATGTAGGATTCTGAGCCCAAGGCTCCATCGATAATGCAGTGTCATTATTTTCAGGTTCATGTATTCACTGATTTGTCCTTGCCATTATTATGCTCATGATGGACATGGATTGATCATTCAGAAAATACTTATCAAGAATGTAGATAATACAGGATCCCCACAACATAGAGAAAAGAGCAAGACATACACACAAGACAATTAGCATGAAGAAAAATACCATGACATGGAAAGAACTGGGGAACAGTACTGGACAACAATAGAAATGTCATTGCAAGGCAGCAAGTAGTCATGTGCCAAATCTGAAGGACCGTTAGTCTAAGAAGGCACAGAGCCCAATGAATTAGAGCTGTGCAAGGAGGTGTTTTTTTAAATTCAGTTTCTTTTTCTTTCAATATTATATATTTTTACTTTATTTTATTTTTTAATATATATTTTATTGATTTTTTTACAGAGAGGAAGGGAGAGGGATAGAGAGTTAGAAACATCGATGAGAGAGAAACATCAGTCAGCTGCCTCCTGCACACTCCCTACAGGGGATGTGCCCGCGACCAAGGTACATGCCCTTGAGCAGAATCGAACCTGGGACCCTTGAGTCCACAGGCCAACGCTCTCTCCACTGAGCCAAACCAGTTAGGGCCAATATTATATATTTTTAAAAATTGAGATATGATCGGCATATAACATTGTATTAGTTTCAGATGTATAGCATAATGATTTGACATTTGTATATATTGTGAAGTGATGGATGTTAGTCAACATCCATCAACACACATGGTTACAAAATGTTTTTCTAATGATGAGAACTTCCAAATACTACTCTTTTTGCAATTTTCAAATATATAAAGTACTGTTATTAACTATAGTCACCACGCTGTTCATTACATCCCCATGGCTTATTTTTCTTATCACTGGAAGTTTTTACCTTTAACCACCTAAACCCATTTTGCCCTAACTCGTCCCTGCCTCTTCCAAACACCAATCTGTTCTCTGTATCTATAAGTTCGGTTTGTATTTTTTTAGATTCCACATATATGAGATCATATGATATATGTTTCTCTCTGTTTGACTTATTTCACTTAGCATACTGCCCTTAAGATCCATCCATGTTGTTGCAAATGATAGGATTTCATTCTTTTTTATGGCTTAATAATATTTATATGTATATATATATATTTTCACATTATTATATAAGCATATATTATATATACTTAACAATATTCATATATATATGCATATCATTATATGAATATATATTAAGTATCACATTTTATGTATTCACTCATCTGTCAGTGAATATGCAGGTTGTTTCCATGTCTTGGCTATTGTAAACAATGATACAGTGAACATGGAGATGCAGATAATTCCATATTTTATTGTAGTAAAATACACATATAAAATTTTACTGTTTTAACCATCTTAATGTGTACAGTTCAGTGGGATTAAGTACATTCACAATGTTGTGCAACCATCACACTAGTTTGAGAATTTTTTCATCACCAGAAATAGAAACCCTGTATTGGGAGGTTTTGTAGAAAGTCTTATAGACTCTTGAGGGATAGCTAGGATTTAAAGAGGCAGATGTGCCCTAGCCGGTTTGGCTCAGTAGATAGAGCATTGCCCTGCAGACTGAAGGGTCCTGGGTTTGATTCCGGTCAAGGGCATATGCCTGGGTTATGGGCTCAGTCCCCAGTGGGGGGCATGCAGGAGGCAGCCAATCAATGATTCTCTCTCATCATTGGTGTTTCTATCTCTCTCTTCCCTCTCCCTTCCTCTCTGAAATCAACTATATATATATATATATATATTTAAAGAGGCAGATGTGAGAGGAATCTACTGGGTATGTGTAAAGAGTCACAGCTGACAACGTGTCCAGTGCTTGGAGGTCTGTGAAGGACAGTACTGAGCTGAGCAGTAACGTTGGATGACTCGTGTGGCTCTTCCTTGTATAACAGCAGGATTTATCTTTCCCTTTTCCTTTTAGAGTCACCTTCCTCTAAGACCACCTTCCCTTAGTTGTTTCACTCTTAAGCTCCCTCTCAGCTCTGCTGTGGGGTCTCCACCCTCTCTGTTCTGGCCACCACCTGCATCTCCAGGATTCTGGTCCATCTGCAACGTGCTGCTGCAGCTGTTCCAGTCAGTGGGCCTCAGTCAGTAGCTGGCAGGGCAGGTGGCCCTTTTTGTGCCCATCCTGGGCTGCAATTCCTCCAAGCACCATTGACACAAGACTGTGGAGGGCAGAAACTTCACCGATGGAGATTACTGGAGGGAATGACATCCTCTTTATTTGGGAACCTTACAACCATGGATTCCCCTGATCTTACAGAATTCCTGCCTCTGGTTGAGTGGTCTAGGGGGAAACACTAACCTAAGACCAGGCCAATCACAGACTCCCTGGGATTTTAAAACTAAAACTCTGAAACAATATCTCTCCTTATGTAGTGGTGGAAATTGAAGAATGAAACCCAGAGGTTGTTGGCAGCTGGGTCTCCTGACATTTGGAATGATGATCTAGAGCAGCGGTTCTCAACCTGTGGGTCGCGACCCCTTTGGGGGTCCAACAACCCTTTCACAGGGGTCTCCTAAGACCATCGGAAAACACATATATAATTACATATTGTTTTTGTGATTAATCACTATGCTTTAATTATGTTCAATTTGTAACAATGAAAATACATCCTGCATATCAGCTATTTACATTACGATTCATAACAGTAGCAAAATTACAGTTATGAAGTAGCGACGAAAATAATTTATGGTTGGGGGTCACCACAACATGAGGAACTGTATGAAAGGGTTGCGGGATTAGGAAGTTGAGAACCACTGATCTAGAGTTAGAATGAGTGAGGCCAACACAGAGAGAGAACAGGGACAAGAGAGAAAGAGAGAGAGGGAAACAGTGAGTCTAGGTAGCTTGCCCTTGCACTGACTCGGTGGTTTCACAGTTTCGTGAACATGCAAGATACATCCGTATTCTTCTGATAAATACTCCTTTTGCCTCCATGGCTTCAGTTGGGTTTCTAGCACTTTCACCATAAGAGCCCTAATATTTAGTAAGAGGCATGAATGGGTGACTCCAGGAGAGCAAAGGGCTTAAATAAGATATCAGAAGCAAGCAGAGCAAGGGGTGAATGGAGGAAGCCACAAGTAATTTGGTATTTGTCAGAGTGTAAACATCCAGACAAGAAGTGGCGAGAGATGAGGCTAATAAGTAGGAAGAAATCTGATCACGGGACCTGAGTGTATTTTGTAAAGGATTTTGGACTTCATTCTGTATACATTCTGTACGTATTATAGGATTCTAAGTAGGCATTAGGCAGAGGTTCGTTAAACTGTACTGTAATTAATAGTAATTAAGAGGCTCTTAACCCGGGAGTCACAGGCAGGCTTCCATTGTTCCCAACCCCTCTGAACAGTATGAAAAACCTGTGGGTGTGTATGAGGCTGTCTTCATGTTTTTGGTGTTTTGTTGTGTGTGTTTTTTTTTGCAATGGAAAAGGTAGCTAACTTCATCAGATATTAAAGGAATCCCTGACCTCAAATCCAAAATATGTTACGAACCACTACTTATGTACAGGCATCTTCAGGAATAACTCGCTTAAAATACTCATCCAAATTTCATTTTCACCCTGAATTTCCTTTCAATTCTTGCACAATTGTTTAGCACAGAAAAATAATGCTCCATAACTGTTGTGTTGAGCTGTAGAGATGATATAGACTTGGTTATTTATAGAGATTTTCACCGGGAGTAGTGGGTATGACCTCCATCCTGTGCTTGGCTTGGGCAGGCAGACCAGACCCGCAGGCTTTTGGAGGTTGCACCGGGCACCCCAAAAGCCCACTCCAAGCATCCTTGTCCTTCCACCTGCGGGTGGAACGACTACAGGTCCCAGGATGCTCCGCGCTCAGAGCGGGCGGGTCTCAGCCTTGCGGCTCTCGCCCTGGGAGGGCCGGGGGAGGCGGGACCCGGCGGAGGGCGGGCCGGGAGCGCGCTGGTGCTGATGCGGGATGGCTGAGCGCGCAGGGGCCCGGGAGCTCTGAGCCGGGCGAGCCTCGCAGCCTGCGCATCGCCTGTCCGCCGGCCGCGTGGTCGCGGGCAGTCCGGCCGGGGCCGGCGCAGGGAGGTCTGCAGCCGGCGGGCCGGAGGCTGAGAGGCTGCACCCACCCGGTCTCCGAGCGGCGGGAGCTGCCCATCCTCCGAATCCGCGATGACCTGCTGAGAAGCTCCGTGGCGGCTGCTGGAGGCGGCCTCGCTGCGGGCGGCGCGGTTCGCGGCCTCCTCCCTCGTCGCCGATCCCGGCCCCCCACCCTCCCCGCGCCCCCTCCCCGCCGCCGGCCGCGATGGCGGACCCAGCTGAATGCAGCATCAAAGTGATGTGCCGGTTCCGGCCCCTCAACGAAGCGGAGATCCTCCGCGGGGACAAATTCATCCCCAAATTTAAAGGCGACGAGACCGTGGTCATCGGGGTAAGTGGCCGGGGCGTCCGGTCTCCCCTCCTGCTTCGCGCCGCAGACCGGCTCCCCGACGCCCCAGACCGAGCCCAGAGGTGCTCGGGCAGCCCCTTCGGACACCCCCGCGGGCTGCCTTCTCGGGTGGACTAGACCGGAGACCCCCTGCCCTTGCACCGGAGTTCCCTCCCGGGCGGGTGGAGGGGCGTCGAGGCGGCGGGGCGGGCCCAGGTGGGGAGGATGGGGGTGGGGGGCGAGGAAGGACTCGGCGTCGCCATTGTTCGCGGGGTGGGGGCCCGGGTGGGCCTTTTGTTCCCCTCCCTGTTCATGCCGCGTGGGGAGGGGAGGTCCAGGGTACCCCCAGGCCGGGATGTCCAGGCTCCCCTTCAAAGTATGAGCTCGGCAAACCCACAAATGATTCCAGGGGTCAGTTCGATTTATCGAACATTTTTTACCTTTTCTCACCATCTATGCAAAAGAAGGAGGAAAAAAGGTACTGGAAAAACCCGTGGCCTGGACGCGGAGCTCCCACGGCCGTGTAGACGCGGCTCCCCGCGGCGTTTCACCTTGCTTTGCGCGCTGAAGGCGGGGTGCAGGGAACCCCGCGGCCTGGTGTCCTCGGGAGGCCTGCTGTGCCTCCTGCTTTTTCTCCACCCCGGCTGCCTTGGACGTGGAGCCCGGGTCTGACCCCTCCCTAAATGGGGCGACTCCCCTACACGGTGCCCACCTCCCCTCGGATGTGTTTGGTGCTGAGTGGAGAGGACTGTGTGCCCACATCTGTGGGGCGAGGCGGCCCAGGACGCAGGCCGGCAGCCCCACTGTGCAGAGAGCAGAAGTTACTTTGTGTGGCGAGGGCCCCCTCCCCTCTGGATCTCCCTCACTCTCCCTTTCCCCCGCCGACCCCCTCCCCTGCAGATGGGGCTGCTGGTGGGGAGAGGGAATACCCTGAGTTTTTAGTTCTTAGAGGAATATGCCAACTGAAATAAACTAGCTTTGTTTCTCACTCTTCTCCCCTCCCCCCCGCCGCTCCCCTCCCCCCTCCCCCGTCCCCAGCGTGTGTAGCGGCGAGTGCCCTCTTTGTATGCGAGCCGCGTGGGGAGAGACCGAGTTAACGGGAGCCTCGCGATCCCGGCTGACACACGTTCCTGGCAGCCCGCTCCGCTCGGGGCTGCTGATGCAGCCTTCCCGGCCCGGCATTGATTAAGTGATGTCATCCCGATCACTGAGCATGCTCCGACCAGCCCCCTCCCTGCCATTCCCCCAGTGGCTGGTGTATTTAGGTCAAGTGATGGACGGGTGACAATTTATAGAGGGTCTCAGGCAGAGTCTGCCAGGCCTTTCTCAAACCAGAGGCGACGCCTGCCTGCCCCGGCCGTTCCCTGCATCTTCGCCAAGGCTGCGGCGCCGCCCAGGGCCCCCTGGGACTGGCAGGTGCGAAGTGTACCAGGAGGCGGGCACTCTCCTCCGGAGGGGACCCCGGCAAGGCTCCGACCTTGGCGCCTGGGCGTCATGTACCTCCCTGAGAAGGGCAGCGCCCCGGATGACCCTTTCTCAGTCCTCATTTTCACAGTCACCAGGACACTGGCTGCTAACTGATCGGTGGCTGAGGGTGCTTTCTGGGAGGTGACCTCTGAGGGTTGGAGAGAGGAATTTTTTCTGCTTCATGTTAAATTGAAGAGAAGGTCTATGCTGCAGCTATGGATAAGGAGGAAAAGTATGTAATTAACGGCAGATAGGGGATATTGATCTATCCATGGCCGGTGCATGGGGCAAATAGTAAATTGTTTGGATTACACCCCTAAGCTGGGATCAGCCTACAGTCTGGGCTTAGAGTGGGAGTTACTGGGGATATCTAGTCCCTGCCCCTTGCCTTGTAACAATTTTTTAAAACAAATAATTGTGCAGCACTAGAACATGTCTGGTGACCCTTTTTTTTTTTCCCTTTCTCAGAAGTTTTAAAGAATAGCTTGGAGAAGTTTCTTCTCCTCCTCCTCCTCCTCCTCCTCCTCCTCCTCCTCCTCCTCCTCCTCCTCCTCCTTTGTTTCTAAAAGCGATAGACCAGGACTAACAAAGTGGAGTAATACAGGGCGGGGCAAAAATAGGTTTACAGTTGTGAGTACTCAAAACAAAGTTTATTCTTGTATTATTATTTTCCATACAAAAAATTGTAAATCTACTTTTGTCCCACACTGTATATCATCCTGTTTAATCTGTGTGCAAGCCAGAGATTAAACAGAGATCCTTAATTTTAGGGTTATATTTATTTAATATTATGATATTATTGTGAGGGTGTATTTCCTATCTAAATGTATATGTTATTGACCAAATCAATGAAAGCAAATGATATAAAATAAATTTTACCATTAAAATGGTCACCATATAATTTAAACAATTGTGTCTGTGAATACACATGTAGCTCTTCAACTATAAAGTTAAATTTTTGTATTAATCCTTTAATATAACAGTTTTCAGTTTTAAGATAAATTTCTTATTGAAATAGCGCATTCCTATAGAAAGGTGTAATCATAATTGTACAGCTTGATGAATTTTTATAAAATAAACACTCCCTTGTAATCACCTCTCAAACTAAGAAACAGACATTTTCAGGACCCCAGAAGTCCCCCTCGTGTCCCTTCCTGGGCTACTTCCTCCTGCTTTAAGGCAACCACTGTTCTGACTTCTAATGCCATAGATTAGTTTTGCTTCCTTTTTTTAAAACTTTACATACATAAAACCAAACAATATGTTTGCTTTTGAGTGTGGCTTCTTGTGCTCAACGTTATGCTTGTCAGATTCATCCATGCTGTGGCGTGTGGCAGTAGCTTGTTCATCCTCATTGTTCTGTAGTATCCCACATGAATGTAGCACAGTTTGTTTGTTCATTAACTGTTGGTAGCCATCTGGATAGTTTCCAATTTGAGGCTAATGTAGACAGAGCTGCTACGAACATTCTCTTACACACCTCTTTTGGTGAGTGTGGGTACAGAACAGAAAACTGCTGGATGCTGAAGGGTGTTGGGACTGGGGTTGGCATGTGCTAGGACCCTTGCCATTCCTCATTCATAACGTGTAACTAAGGGAAATGACAGTTCTGGCAGCCTGTGTCAGGTTTTGTACACCGAGTAGAGTAACTCCCCCGTCAGTTCAGTTGGAACCAGCCCAGGTAGCTCAGTTTCAGGTGGAGACTGCCTAAGGTGGGTCCTCCCTTCCTTACTTGCAGGAGTGTAGTTTGTGGGGATGACCCAAGAAGCCCAGAACCATCCAGAAATGCCAGTAACCTTCACCCCCAACAGAGACCAGTAAAGAATGAATTTCTGTGGAGTTAGCTATTAGTCTAAATTCAGAATCCCAGAAATTCTTTCTGTTTTTGAAACTGGGGTAATTTGTTTTCCTCTTTAGAGTCCTGTTAAAATCTTAAGGAAATGTATGCGAACAGGGAGATTTTGGAGGTAGAGTTTCTAGATTTCTCTTTTTGAGAAAAATGTCCTGTCTTGCTGGAATCATCTCTATTTTTCTGCATTTTTTTTTCAGCTCCTGTGCAAAGCTTTCTTCCCCTGATCTCCCCAGCCATTCTCTCCCCCCACTTTGAACTCCTGTGGCATTTATTTTGTATATGATCATGTAATCTTTTGCCTTAGGTTATTATTAATTTTGATCATCTGTCTGATGGCATTGTAAGCCATCTGCAGAGAGAAACAAGGACCTTCTGTGTTTTGCTTCTTTGTACTCCCAGAGCCTTCTCCATAGAAGACATTTAACAAATGTTTATTGATCTCTTTGTTGAGTCCAGCAGTCTTTACTTTGGCATATTTAACTTATTTTATGGACTTTTAGTTGGCTGTAGACTGTGAGGAGTAGTTAAGAAACAATTTTAAAGAGAAGTGCTATTCCTTTGAGCAGGCCAGGTAAATAGCATCTACTATACTAAAAATGCTGTGAGAGAACTACGTTCAGCTTTGTTATAAAGTAGGAGACCTAAGGACACTAGCGGTGACCTAGATGTAGAGGGTGGGGTGGCCTAGTGATTAGCAAGGGGTGCCACTTTAATTCTACAGAGAAATAGATTGGGTTTACGGCATTTCTCGGAGTACTCCTACATTATCTGATGAAAATTCTGGCGAGTCATCCATTACTTTGGGCTCTGCCTGTTGGTTTTGATGCATGTTTGTTGATGGAAACGGTCTTGGAGAGTCCACGGTAAGGCTCTTTGAAATGGACTTGCACACTTAAGTTTGGAGCTTTCCTTTCATTCTCTGGTTCCAAGTCCGGGGAAAGCGGGTCTTAAAGATGGGTGCTTCCTCCCGAGACCTGCACTTCCCAGCCTGTTTGAGAGCCAAAGCAAAGCATCAGCCACAGATCCTGAGCTGGTGAGTGGAGTGGAAAGGGGCCTCTGTCTGCAGGAGCTTCGCTTAGTTCTGGGCAGTGGATGGGCAAGGAAGGCAGGAGTTGGGACAGAGACAAAGTTCCAAACCTCAGTTATCTCTGTGGTGATTGAGGACTGAAGAAGTGAGGAAATATGACTAGAACTTTTCTCTTGTCTATAGTGATGGTCTTTAAAAGCAAGAGCATTAAAATTTTTTCTTTGTAAATTTATGCACCATTAAATCAATCTCTCTCTCTCCCTCTCTCTCTCTCTCTCTCTCTCTCTCTGTATTTTGTAGGGAGTTTGACAAATACAGCGTTATGTAGTTATGCTGTGTTAGTTTTCTGTTGCTGCTGTAACAAATTAACTTCACACTTGAGGCTTTAAACAACGTGGGTTTATTATCTACAGTTTCCATGGGTTAGAAGTCCATCAGCTCAGCTCTTTTCAGAGTCTCATAAAGCCAAAACCAAGGTGGTGTTGGCAGGGCAATGTTCTTTTCTGGGGGACTAAGGGAGAATCTATGCTTTTGCTCACTCAGGTTGGTGGCAGAATTCAGTTCTTAGGGTTGTAGGACTAAGGTCCCCATTTCTAAGCTGTCAGCCTGGGCTACTCTCAGGTTCTAGCCAATTTCTGCAACTTAAAAACCCAGCAA